GTGTGTGAGGATGCTTGTGTGGGTGTGGATGTGGATGCGGGTGTGGATGAGGGTGTGAGTGTGGGTGTGGGTGAGGGTGTGAGTGTAGGTGCGGATCTGGGTCTGGGTATTAATGAGAAGGATACAAACATCCACATCCACACCCTTCGTCAAGATGGAAAGAAAATCAGTATTTTTTAATGACGACACCTTAGAAGTTCCGATATTTTATCGTTCGACTTTTTTTCTTTCGGTATTTTCATAGTAAATCTAATAACTTACTCTTCTTTTGTTAATTGTCGACATTTTTCATCCCAAAATTCTAATTGTTGTAATTGTACTTGTAAATCATTAATTTGTTGCTGTATTTGTTGATGTAAGACTTGAAATGCTTGTCCAGATGTAATTAATGATCGAAGTTTACTTGGTGGTATTGTTCGAGTTAATGTTTTTTGTACAAGTTCATACCATATACTAGCTTGATAGAATAATTTTAATCGTTCAATAATTGGTAAATCAATTTGATATTGTTCACTTTGTTCAATATATTTTGAATAAATATCTGTGGATTGAAGTTTTTCAGATTGAAGTAATAATTTAATATCATCTTGAAAACGAAGACAATCACTTAAAATATTCTAATAAAAAAAACAACAAAGATTTTAAACTATATACAAATTTTTAAATATCTACTTGTATAGCATTCATTTCATTAAATGTAATACCAATTGATTTAATTCGAGTTTTTAATTGATTGATATCATTTAATGTTATTTTACTTTCATTATTATTATCAGAACTTTTTTTCTTTTTAATTATTTCTTCATCAGTAGAATTTTCTAAGGATTCAGTTCTAAAAATAAAGTTAAAAAAACATTTTATTGATTATTTTTATTTTTCCGCTTACTTATATGCAACACGTTTTAAAATATTTTTTGCCATTTGTCGACATTCATTAGCTTCAATTAATTTTTCTTCCATTTTTACACGAATATCATCACGTAAACATAACACACCAGACGATGTATGTTTTTCAATATCATTAAATTCTATAAAAGAAAATGACAGCTATCATTATTAGTCAAACAAAGAATCGTTGGATGAACTATGATTTACAAAACAAGTCCTTGAAAAACAACGGAAACCTCTCAACTTTAAACTATTATTGACTTTATGATATAATTCTTTTGTTATTCACAATTCAATTAAGAACTATGTAAATAGTTAGAATATATTCGATTGATTATTTTATTACCGATAAGAGATTGATGATCGGTTGAGATAAGTCGATTAACAAGTCCTTTCCATTTATGACAAAGATCAAGACGTTCACGCAATGCATCAAGCATATCCGACATTTCATTAAGTGTATATCGATACCATAAACAATATTTTCTTGGAGCACATGAACATAATTGATCAATATGATTTATACAAACGAGAATATCTAAAAGAAAAAAAAATAAATTTTGAGAAAAAATAAAAAAATAAACATACTTGGTTTGCATAAACAAGATACAGCTGAAAGAAAACAAGTTGTTTTACAAGCATCACATTGCCGTTCATCATCAGGCATTAATTCAAAACAAACTCGATCACCATCTTCAGCTCCCTTGAAAAACAAAAAAAAGTTTTTTTTAAATATAAAATCAGTCTCAACAAACTTGTTCATAAGCTGATTTTCGACTGTTTTTTTCTTGTTGAAGTATACAATCGAGTTCAAATCTTGTCGCATCACCAATAGCTGGATCAAGATATTGACATTCCGATGCGAGTTTACAGATTAATTCATCATGTGAAAATACACTATATCGTTTAACTTCTTTATAATGATCTATTGCACAACGACCCATCGGAAGCTAAAATTTCCAATGAAAAAAATAAGCCTTCATTTATTTTTTTACGAAATTTCTTACCCAATCAGCAGGACAAAAATTATTTGCTTCAGCAAAATTAAAACCATGATTAAAACCTGCATGATAAGCACGAGGAAATGTTACAATAAATTCTCCAGCTTGTTGTTGAGCTTTAACAACTGGTACACCTTCACGTATTAATATTGATGGATTCATTGTAGTTACAAGATGATGAAGTAAATCAGGTGTTTTAGAAAATAATTCTGGTGCATAAGATTTCATACAATTTTCTAATTTTTCAGCACTTGATCCAGGTACACCATACCAAGTTTTTGGTTCACCCCTAAATTAATATAAAACCAAAAATTAAATTTTAGATCTTTTGTTTTTTTTTCACATACCAATGAAGATAGTTAATAGAATATGACCAATGATCTTCGACATGCCAACAAAAACAAGAAAAACACATACCAACATAAGCCCAAGGTACCTTATTTTCGAAAAAAATGATAAAAATAAAGATATTTATTAATGTTTATGTATGTACCTTCATTCCAGATATATCAGCATTGATATATTTTAAGACTGATTTATAATGACAAGCAAAATTATTGAGATTCCATGGAGAATTGAGATATTTCTAGAAAATAAATTGTTTTGAAAAAAAAATAAAAATCGTTTTATTATTACTTTATCATTTTCTGTTAAATCTTTTGTTTTTAATGTAGGAAATCCACTACCTAATTCACCAGTTGGTAAATCTGCACCATATTCAACTTTAACTGATGCATCAGGTAATGAAAGTATACGCCAGAATTCTTGTTCAACATCATCAGCTGTTATTTCCTAAAAATCAATCATTATCATTTTTCTATTAATCAAACAAAAAACATACTGATAATGGTTTATTAAAATAATTTCGTTTAAATTCATCCGCCATTTCTCCAAATTCTCCCAATGTATATTCTTTTCCCGATTGTTCAAATCCATATGCATCCGATGGTGATGCTGTATGATACAACTAAATAAAACAAAAAATCATATAATTTTAATAAGCAAACAAATATTACCTGAGCAACACATTTTGGACAGCGCCATTGACCTCGAGGAATTTCAACTAATGATGGTATAAGACAATATGTATGATAACAATTATCACATATGTCACATATTAATAAATAATTATCATCATCACCACGTGTACAACATTTACATACGAAATTAGCAAACTAAAAGAAGAAGAATTCTCATATTATTTATAATCAACGATTTTGATTTATGTCATAACTATCTTTTTCAATTTCTACCGAAACTACAATTCGTTTCATCAATTATTTCATTATTAAAAAAATAATTATCATAAAGGTCATCTATTTACGCGAACAACTATATTTTATTAACGAAAAAAAATAATATTTTCTTACTGGATCAACATTATTCATAGATGATGAACTATCTTTTCGTTTATTTCCATTCTTCATTGTTCCATTCGATTCAACTAGATTACATAAAAATTAATTCTTAAAATAACAAAAAAACAAGACTAACTTTTTCCTTTTTTCGAATCAGTTTGATTTGATAAATCAGTTTGTTCTTCGTAAATACCTGTTTCATAAACATCGTAAGATAATAATAATTTTTCATAATGTTGTTTCAAAACACGACTTGTTTGTGTATCATTAAAATTCATTTTACGTGTAACTGTAGCCCATTTCTTTTGTGAACAACAAATATGATATCCACCTTCATCTTTAACAATCTAATCATAAACAAAAAAAAATTATTGTTGATAATGAAAAAATAAAAAACAAACTTTATGTAATTTTGCTAAATCTAAAATTTCTTTTTCAACTGTTGGAATTTTTAATTTAACTCCTTGTGAATCATATAATTTTGTTAAACGTTCATAAAATTTTATTTTTGCTCGTGTACCAGCTTCAAGTTCATTGATACGTTGTATACGTGGTGTAAAACGAAATTCATCAACATTAACACAAAATGGTGGTTGCCATTCCTTTCAAATTATTTTTATTCGAATAAAAAAGAAACAAAACAAAAATATATAGTTACTTTGGGTGGAATTATTTTACAAAGTCCAGCGCGTGAAGCAATCGGACGAATTTTTTCAATATATTCAAGTGGATCAGCAAATTCATCACATGTTGGATAGAATACAGGCGCTTCAGGTGGTGAACAATAGTTCTCAAAAGTCATTTTGTTTTTCTTTACATTAACCTACGAGATATCGAAATATAAACAATAAGATGTATAGATGTATATTTATATATGTATGTCGAATGGAAAAACACAATTCTGATATATTGATGAATGACTTCCCGAAAAAAAAAAAAAGAAAACATTCAGTGACATCTCTTTCCATTGACCTTCTTTCTCATAGGTTTAGATCATTCTAGATAACGCCACAAGTCAATTGTTTAGAATTGATAAGTAAATAGAATATTGTAAATGATAATTATTTCAATTAGCTATGGATGAATAATATTTAGCTTTAGAAAAATTCTTATTTTGATATAAAATAAACAAATTCTTAACGATGTTTATATTGTCTATTAAAAAATAAAGACAAACAAATTTTCAATTTAATTGGAACAATAAAATCTATATTGATTTTTTTTTCATTATTTAAAACAATGTCTTTTGTTTTACAAGAGAAATAAAGTTATATGAGATTTAAATGAATTTCTAAATAAAGGAAAGAAAGATACGGATTGTAATCGGGCATAGATATTTTTAAATGATAGTATAACAACTCGAATTCTTGGAGGAATCAACACATGTCAACGATCATTCTATTGATAAAATGTCTTAATTAGGCAATATGAACCCTAGGAGTCCCAAGCCTTTTTTGTGTTTTAAGGTCATCCTATACTCATCTCACATCCTGTTTTTGAAAGATACAAAACAATAAAATATCCTCATTGTATGAAAATTTGACGGAGACTGTGTCAGAAATGACCCATTTAGGACTTCTAGGGTTAATAAAATTTATTACATATTATCTATTATGAAAACTACACACCAGGAACTAATTTTTGAATTGACAATAAACATGTCACCACGTCAGTATTTATTGATGATTCATGTTATTGCAACATGCAAACAATCGGTATAAAAAGGCATGATTACAACGATAACAGCAATAAAATGGGTATGGTACATTATACTAGTGGTCGAAGAAATTTAACATATGAAGAATTAATAAAATCAAATGTGAGTTCAAATCCAATCTCTAGAATATATTCTATATTATTTTTTATCTGATTAATAGGCAACAAAACCATCAAAATCATTTATTCCAAAAAGTCTTCTAAAACTTATGTTAATTCGAGAAAATGAATTACGTATCTCAGATGAATATCAAAAACGGTTTCATGAAGCAGAACAAACATCATCGTCTACGTCGTGGTTAGATGTAGCTGATGAATTACAACGAGAAGTTATTCGAGAATTTCATTTAGATGAAGAAATGAATGATGCATTATTGTGTTTAAGATGTGCAACACAAATTTATCCTGATTTAAAAGATATTCCACTTTATACAAAATATAATCGAGCTCGAGACGGAGATTTACAAGTCGGTGACATTGCACCTAATGTTCCAGTAATTCATCTCGATGAACAAGAAAATCAATTATTTGATGGATTGAAATCTTCACCAACTGTATTAATTAGTGGATCATATTCATGACCACCATTAAGAGCTATTATGTCTCAATTATCTGAATTATATAATCGTTATTGTAAATATATTAATTTTCGTTTTATTTATATTCTTGAAGCACATGCACAAGATGAATGGCCTATTTCTAGTGCAAGATGGAGTCCAGCTCAAATGCCAATTAAATATAATCAAACTCGTACAATTCAAGAACGT